TGGGTTCATTTTACTTCTCCTTCCCTCTCGCGCCGATCGCAAGCCGCCGAGAGCGCTCTCTCTCTCCGAGTCCCGTCCGAGGGGCGCTGCCCACCGCGCAGCTGAAGCTGCCCAGGGGCCACTCCAACAGTCTGCAGCCCTTGGGCCCCGCCACGATGTCGGAGACCCAGGCGGAGCCTTGGAAAAAAACGCCGGCGCCTTTCGGAACTTCCGGGCGCCCCGAAGAGAAAAAGAGAGGCCGGGGGGAATGGAACCAACTGGGTCGGACCTTTTCTTGGAGCCTACCTTGGTTTGTGAAGGGACGGAAGGAACAGTAGAAACATCCCCTCTGCCATCTAGGGACGATTTCTTGGTGGAAAAGCGCCGTTTTTTGGCCAGGAAACTTCGATGATTGGTCTTCCCACAAAGGGAAGAGAAAGGGAAATACATTCGCATCTCTGACTCACACAAAACAGGAACTATGTGAGAACTCCTGCAAGATTCAGGCTGCTTCACCGCAAGAGACTTGAAGGCAGGGGTGGTTGGGGGGCGTGGGGCAAACATCTCTTTTGCGAACTCAGCGCGCCATTGGCCCTGGCAATGTAATTTATCCCTGGTGACGGTGGGGGAATGATTGCCAATCACAGCGCTTTGTGGTTGCCTCGGTATTCTCCCGGTACTTGATGTGGCCAACGTAGCATCAGCTGGGGGAGGCGGGGGGGGGGATTCTTCACCTGTCCCCACAGAAACACGCAACACGTATGCCGAAAAGGAAGCCAATCTTAACTCCGATCGCCAGCTTCAATTGTGGGAGGGAATGGATGGTTTCCGATGTCCTTGGCTCAAAGGGGCAGATTTTGATCAACATATTTAGTCTGAGTCTACTCAGCGCCCCCATCCCCCCCGTTTTCGCCTGCCCGAATGTTCGTCAGCTTGCCGACCTTCTCCTGGACGGCTTGAAACCAGCGAAGCGGGAAAACAGGTACCAATCTTTTACCTGTTGTTCAGTGACCCTGGTAGAACAAAGGGGGCCCTGATTGGGATTGACCCAGTGTTTGGTGCAGAAAAGACCAAGAGTACCACTCAACAGCTGGGGGGCTATGAGGGAGGTTATTCCCCTGAAGAAGGTCTTCGGGGCTTCTCTTGGCTTTTCCTAAGCTTATCCAGGGATAGCCCCTTTCAACTCTTCCTGGAGATCCATGAATCTGGGTTGCTTTTAAGGAACCTAACAAAAACATAAGGGTGAAACACAATTTTAAGGGACATGAGTATGAGTTGGAACTGAAGTTGGACCCTTTGGTGCACGTCAGAAATACATGCACCTCATAACCCCAGGACATGGTTGTGGAAAACCAAGGTGTCGTTCTCAAAATGGTGGTTCGATCTAGTCCCCATGACAGTGTCATCAAGTTATGCACATGTCCTTAGGGAATCACAGGAAGTAGGAAGTGGCCGTACGCCCCGATATTCATTCTCCACAGCTATTCCCAGGGACTCTTCACCGACATTAAACTCACCAGAAGGTCCCCTCAGAGGGACTCGTGTTTTCAATTTAGGACCCCCCCCCCACGTCCAGCTGACACAGCTCCCTGCCCCTTGGGGGCAGATTGCAACGCTTTCGCTTCCTAGGTATCGTTTTGGCTGTCTTGTTGGATCCTTTTGGTTTTTAGGGACCCGCTTTTGGTTGGACCTTGAAGGGGAACGAGAAGGAACAACAACGCCCATTTTGGGGGTCCAACCTGCAAAAACGAAACAGCAACGGTCGCCAACCTCAACTCCAGGAAGCCAGCGCTGGCCATTTCTTGGGGGACCCAACCCCCCCAAAAAAAACACGCGGAGGGCGCCCTGGTCCTCAAAACCAGGAAGCCACGTTTCTTGGGGGACCCCCCAACCAAGCCCCAAAACAAAACAAGAAAAACGCGGAGGTTCTCCGCCCCTTCGCGCCGGCGAAGGGGCGGCCCCTCTGCTTCTCCGCTTCCGCTTGCCTCCAGCCCGGTGCGGAGCATGGCGTGGAGCTCCGCCGAGGTGCCGCGGCCCCGCAGGCCGTGGCTCTCCGCCTGGGCGATGAGCCACGAGTCCTCCCAGTCCTCCTGGCGATCGCATCGCGGCATCGAGCCACCGAAAAAGGGGGGGAGTTGGAGCTAGTGGTCTCCTTGGGCCTTAGACCATCACATGGGGACCATCACCGTCGGGAATCTACCTCTGTGAATCAAGCCTCAGTATTGGGCCCATTATACCCAGTTGCGGCCCAATGGACAACGAACAAGTTACCCAACTACATAAACTGACAACATGCATTCGCGGACAGTCCCCATTTGTGTACTTTTATATGTCCCCAAACAATGCACCTTGTGGGATGCTTTCGTATGAATGTTCCTTTGGAGCTGTTTGGGTTCCTCAAATTCGTTGGGATCCTTGGGTGCATGTCAAAGCGCGAACAAGGAGAACCAACCATTTGGTTTTTGGGTCATGAAAGTTTTCTGAGAGGAATCGGGCACCTGAAACTGGTTGTCCTTTTGTTTACCTTCAAAGGCCGTCCCAAGGTTCCAAACACCGTGCACATGGCCGCAGATCGCACTGGCAAAATAAGCCAGGGGGCTTGAAAAGGGGAACAATCATCCCCTAGTTTCGGCACCCACCTTTCCGCGGGCTGAAATCCTCACGTCTTGTAGGATGGGAGGGCGGAGAAGCCCAAGCTCAAATTCAACGTCACTTTTAGCTATGGAGTTGGAGGTATGCAGGCCATGCCACTCATGTTTCCAAGGCATAGCCCTTAAATTTGTGGTATGGCCCCCCTTTGTCCCGCAGAGCCTCCATGCCTGCACATCCCCTGGCCATACCCATACCCTTAGAATCCCAGTGGCGGGGGCGAAAAACATCCTTGTTTCCTGGTTGATGTTGGAGGGAAATCGGAGATGCCTCCAATAGTTGTCGTTTTGTTCTCCTTCGTGGGATTTCCGGGAAACAAAAAGCGGGCACCCGCTTTTCTGGTTGACTTGGCGGGTGACACTGGGATCGCGGATCGTCTCATCGTCTCCTCATCCTCAGCGCTCTCGTCCATAGGCTCGCCCAGAAATTCGGCGCGCCAGACGGCGGGCCACAACGTGCCAATGAAGACGTCCTATCATATGGACGTACTATCAATGCGAATCGATCGGCTCCGGCTCCAGTTATGGATGAATCCTGGGATGAACCAGCAACCAACTGGGGCGAAGTGGAGTCTGTCCATCAACAGCGTCTCCCACCCAAGCATTGCACCATTTAAGGTTCAGGATCAAAGGGAACAATATCTAGCATGATACAAACTCACGGTGGCAAAATTGGGGAGTCCATCCTCCCCAAATCAACGGCGGGCAACCTTGGCAGTGGGCTTGAAAGCCATGCCTAACCCAACGGGGTGTTCCGTGTCCAAGCCAGGTAGCTCGTTTGACTCAGGTTCCACGAAAACTACCAAGACAAAACAATGGGAAACCTCCAACGCCACGCAAGAGACCTTCACCATGCCTTTGTTTTACCACCGATGAGCTCGTTTGAACATATAATTACAAAACAAAAAGCAAACACAAATACATTGGTCAACCTAAAGGACCAAACAACCACATCTTACATGTATTATGATCCTAACTTAGTTTAAATATAGCGTAACCTTTTACTGAACCAAACAGAACTCCAACTAAATTTATCCTCCCTTGAGGTTTCGTCATCGTTTGAAGGCCAACTCCCATTTCTATTCCCTAGCATTGCTTACATCTTTGTCTAGAACGCCGGCCCAGCAAGGGGCCACCCCCAAGTAAAGAAACCGGTCTGTTCAGCAGAAACACACACACACGATCTTTTCGGGAAGTCATCCGCCATTTGCTCAAGCCCCCAAACAAAAAACAATAAACTATTTCCAGTAGTAATAGATTCCCTTTAAACCAACAGAGGAAAATTCAATCAACATTCTTAATCAAACGGATGTCTTTTCTTGGCCTCCAAAGGTGACCTCCACGCACCGCGCACCCCGGGCGGCGACCTGTCCTGGTGGTACTCGATGCTCACGACGCCCGCAGCCCGTTCCGCCACGCAGGTGCCCTCCGTGACGTAGAGCACCCGGTTCACCGCGCGGCCACTCTCGGAGATCTTCTCCTATGCGGGGCCCAGCCACAGAGCCGCATCGCCTCTGTGACTTGGGGCACCATGTGTACTTCTACATACATATATATATATATATATGCATATATACACGTATATACTATATGTATATATATATATATTATAGGTATATATGTATATATGTGTATGCATGCATGCATGCATGCATGCGTACGTGTATGTATGTATGTATGTATGTATGTATGTATGTATGTATGTATGTATGTATGTATGTATGTATGTATGTATGTATGTATGTATGTATGAACATAGAAGTGGGGACGGAGGGAGTTTTCTGAGCAGCATTCCCCTGACATGGGGATTTGCTGAGAAACCTCCCATTTCTCACTTCCTGAGTGGGTTGGCAAAAAAACAACAACCCTACTTTCTACTTACCACTAACATGGTCTTCCCAACAAGCTTAAAGTCCAGAAATCATGAAGTGAGATGTTCTGGTGAGTGTACCCAACGCTCGGTCAACGGGAACCCGATCAACGGGTCGGCCTGAGGAACCCGATGTGGAGTATTTAGTTTTGACACGTTTTCGGTCAACAGGTCGAATTCTCTTGGCGCAAGGCCTACTACAATTCCCACGAGGCAAAGCGAAAGTAACGAACCTTCATCATGAGAGAACCCGTTTCACCTCAACGCGAGCCCGCTGTAATTTGTGCTTTAAAGCGTTTCCAACTCGGGATCCACAGTTGAGACAACCTCCCACGTATGACATGCAATTCTGAGACAAGTTGCAGTGGATAACGATATCTTTGACCAACCGCTGCTGACACGATTGTTTTTCCGTCGAGGTAATGACCTTTAGTAGCAAGTTGGACTAGCAACCAAAGTAGCAAGGCGCGAAGCTTGCGTCGCGGCAGCAAGTCAGATTACCCCAAGGCCAGGAGTGGCATCTCAAGGCGTCATTTTAGAAAGATGCATGCTGTCGATACTGTATATACATATATATATATATATGTATGTGTACACACATACACATACATGACTATTATTATTAACATTTAAGCGAGGCGCTTTTCGCAAAACAGCTTCCACGGTGGTGTTTCCTTCGGAAGGGGGCTTAGTATGTATAGATGCGCGCACAGCCTCTTCAAACCCTGAAGTGTCTGGCAGGTTCGTTCTCAATCCCTTGCTGCCGCGTAGCTCCGGGCGCGTAGTTCTTGAAGGTGGCCCCGGCCTGCGCCAATTCGGTGGCCAAAATGTAAAGCCAAATGCGCGTGGGTGTGTGTCGGGTGTGTGTGTGTGTGGTGCGTGTGTGATGCGTGCGCTTTGTGTGTTAAGGGTACCCCTCTCACCTTAGTTCAAAGGGAAACTCAAGTGAGACTCGCCATTTGTTACAATCCACCGCCACCAAATGCACAGAAACGCCTTTCCCAACGTGAAGACAACACAAAAGGGGGCTCGACACGGGGATTGAAAGCCGTGGGGCTCCTGGCTGGCAGCGTTTCCTTGAACAGGTATTGGGACATTTAGTGAGTCCTCGGGTTTGTGCGGGAGATTTAGTGAGTCTCCCACATGAACCATAGACTGCTGGCCGAGCCTCACATGAGATTGCAAAATAATCAGCTGAAAAAAAAAACACGAGGTGTGTAAAATAGTTCAATGCTTGGTCGCTCACATGTTTTTCATGTCCGATTCGTCGGATGGCTTTCCATGCTGGTTGTTCCCATGCCTTGTTGGCCGGCTGTGACTCGCACCCGTGAGTCACTGACTCAAGACGGAGCACTGAAAAGATCAGGTAAGGCTATCCTGCAACCAGAGCCCAAAATCACCAGGAGAAAACAAAAACTACAGTCAGTACAACCAGCCACAACGAGGTCTGTCTAGCTCTCCCAATGAAGAAGAGCATGAAATAAGTCAATGATCCGCCTGCTCGGGACCGCTTACCGGAATTACAAATATATATCCCCTACAATCATCCCACCACTCACTTCCTGAGTGGATTGGCTAAAAAAGTAGCCAAACTTTTTTGTCTACCACTAAAGCGGCTTCTCAAAAAGTGTAAAGCGCAGGAACCCGGGTAGGGAGACCAAAGGAAACTCACTTCGAAATAAGCCAACAGAGTGGTCTAAACAATCCGAAAACGATACTAGTCACTTTCTTGAGGTTATCCTTCTGTTTTAAAGAGACGCCTCCTGAGTCGATTGGCAAAAAACAAGCGCTTGCCATTCACGTGGTACTTCCATCAAGTATCAACTTCAGGAACTCAGGGAGCGAGTTTCTTAAGATTGAGCCGGTTCCCGGTGCAGCTGGCAAAACATGCCAAAAAACGGTGGTTTGAACAATGAGCAGTTCCCGGTGGTTTTGTTTGCCATGCGGGGGAGGTCACTAGGTCGCTATTCAGTACAAGCTGGGAGCAAGAATGTCTTGCTTGGCACAGCAGTGAAGGAAAGCCGCCATGCGGGGAAGCAACAGGGAAACCACTGGAAAAAAACACCAACAACAAAAAACACCCCAAAAACACCAATGGGAAAAAACCAATGGAAGAAAACCAATGAAAATAAACACACAAAAAAAGGCCAAAGGCCGCCAAAAGCCGCCAAGAGCCAACTTTGGGCGGCCTTCAGGAGCTTCGCAAACTGCCGGGGCGTCACCCCGTGGCTCTGGAAGCCGTGCTCGTAGATGTCCTATCTGGCTGTGGCTCAAAAAAAAGGAATTCCAAAATGGGTTGCCCTGGAAAGTGGAAACATGGAAACCAAAACCTGCGGTTTGTCCCTCCTGTTTAATTTTGAGCCACACCCATCTGAGAGATCTGTTTCCAAACGCACGGGGAAGTTTGGACCGGAACTGGAGATACTGATTCCTGAACTCAGGGATCTACCACAGCTGGAAACCAAAAGCGCCCATGGAAGTTTGGCCTTGCTAGTTCAAAGGTATATCCAAACTTGCAGGTATGCATTCATGTACCTATGCTAAGGGTGTGTGTGTGTGTGGGTGTGTGTGTGTGTGTGGGTGTGTGGGTGTGTGGGTGTGTGCGCGCATGTGTGTGTGTGTGAATTGCAAGATGAGGTGCATGTGTATGTGCTTGCGTAGTTGTATTCTGTATGGGCTTATGTGTATGCGGATGTGTATGCGTATGTGCATGCGTATGTGTATGCGTATGCCTGTGCCTCTCTCTCTCTCCGTGTCTGTGTCTGTCTGTCTGTCTGTCTGTGTGTGTGTGTGTGTGTGTCTGTGTGTGTGTGTGTCTGTGTGTGTGTGTGTGTCTGTGTGTCTGTGTGCGTGCGTGCGTGCGTGCGTGCGTGCGTGCGTGCGTGGGTGGGTGGGTGGGTGGGTGTGTGTGTGTGTGTGTGCGTGTGTGTGTGTGTGTGTCGCTGTGTGTGTGTGTCTCTGTGTGTGTGTGTGTCGCTCTGTGTGTATATTTGCATGCACGTATGTGCATCTGACAATTCGTGAATGTGTAAAGTATAATATGCACATTTGTGCAACAACTGGTTTTTTGAACAGTGTAAGATGTATCCTGACGCTACCCCAGCGGCTGAGCCCATTCCCCGAGAGGCTAAGCAACATGCGTCGGTCCCTGTCTGTGTGAGTGGGATTCCCACTATGATACTGTGGATGGACGAAATCCTGCACCACTTTGAAACCATGAGCAGCCATTGTTTGTTGGTATTTACAGGAATAATCATCATTCCGGGGTTTCTTAATCACTTCCTGACTTGATGGTTCAAAAAGTCCAAACTTCTTGTTTGCCACCAACATGGTCTTTCCAAACCGTTTAAAGTCCAGGAACTCAAGAAGAGAGCTTAGGTGGTGCGAAATGGATTCTGTCCATCCACAGCATCACTCTGAAGACGCCTGGGTTTACCCTCGCTTCCACATGCTTTTTACGCGGGTTCCGGACACTTCCCCTCAAAAGGTCCTTCACAACCCGGTCGGCTTCCATTGGGCTGACAAAAAGCTGGGTTTTATTTTGATTCCTGTTCAGGGCGGTGATCAAAAGGCCCCAACATGCGATGGCCATTAGGGACACCACAAACGGCAGATGCGACTTTCGCATGGGAAAATATTGCCATGGTCATTTTGGGGCCGAACGGATGTATATATATATATATGGATGTATCATATGTATATATATATATATATATCATATCATACATTTTTTGTTACACATATTTGTATAAATATATCAACCCCCGTTTCATGCCATCCAACAGGAGGACTCAAACGCCGGGGGTTCCGAACCCCGGCCGCGTCCTCCTGCTCGTCCGTGAGGTGAAGCCCATGGTTCTGCTCATGCAGCAGCCTCTGAAAACCGCCAGGCTCAGATGGGGTCGAAAAACCCAGGCTCAGATGCGTGGATTTCCATGGGGAAAAAGGAATCGGCATCTTTTTTTGGGGTTGGTGGAGTTTGAAGGGGAACCCTACTCCAGAAAAAGGAAAAAATGAAAAAAGGGCGGAATCCACTCGGCAACTGGAGCTGGGTCTTACCAGGACTGTTGAAAGAGCACGTGGTCTTCCAAAACACTGGGCCGCTGGCCGAGATTGTGGCCCATCCTCTCCTTCAAACCAGACACACCCATATAGCGCTTCGGCTGGAACAGGTCCACCCCCCCGGTCGCGGAGGTGTCTTCTCGGATCCGCACAGGGCGAGGTTGGCGAAGTGGAGCACGGCGAAGGCCAGGCCCCAGCTGCCCGCGGTCTTCTGGTGCTCCTTCGACTCATCTTCACTTCGCGCTCTTCGCGCGAAATTTCTGTTTTTCCCAACAACAGCAAGCTGAGCGCGGCCTGGGGTCGGTAGGCCTAGATAGGCTTCGGAGTGGTTCGACAAGACAAGCTCAAGCCAAATGGGGCAGCACCAGCGCCAAAAGGGAACAGCATCTGTGTTTTGCCTTAGCAGATTGTTTGTCTCCCCATTTTGGTGAGGGAAATGCCCGAAACCACTGCTATCAAATGGTTTTTAACCCGCCGGCCGGGCTATGGGCTCCATTTCTCGGAAATCCATCCGGGAGTAGAGGGTAAAGATCAGGTGGCATCCCCAACACAGCAACCCCTGGAATCATTCCGGAACGCCCAAAGCCGCACCACAAGTCAAATGTGGCCCATTCCCGTGTTCGCAGCCTCCAAATTTGTCAACTTGGAGCCTTGGGAAGCCACGGGCGAAACTCGCCCGTAACTGGCAACTCAGCTGCCCAAAGGACCGACAAATGGAGCCAAAGGGGAAACCAACAGGTGAGATCCGGTGGATTCGCTTTGGGCAAGGCTCGTTCGCGCCTTGAGGGGCTTGGGCATCAGAAAGTTGAAGGAGGCCACCTGGGCAACTTGACGACTTTGGGACTTGCCAGCACCCACTTAGTCTTGCTGGTCTTGCTGGTGCGATAGGCAGGGAATGGGAAATGGAATGACCCTCATGAACCATCCAACTGGTGGTTTCCTTAAAGGGGACCAAAGCCTGGGTTCACTCCCCCATTCCCTATCGCACCAGCAAGTAGTGCTGGGGGAAGCCAACCATTGCCCTCTGGTAGAGCCTATTCTTGGGGGCCAGGGAAAGGGGGGCTGAAGCTGAGTGAGGAAGGACATGCACATAAATCTAGGCATGTCTTTCTGTTTGAGGCTCGGTACCACGGTGGCTGTTTGGTCTTGTGTGAAGACTGTCCAGGAAAACCGCAGACTCCAATTATTTTTGCTTGCTTATTCTTTTGAGGCAGGGGGGTGGGGGGGCTGTCCAGGGTTTGCCCAAAAAAGCTGAGCTCGAGGAAGTGCAAAGAGGGAGCTGAGCGAACTCGGAGGCCCCCGTTTTGGGTGTGTGGAAGGAGCTGCGCCCTGGCCTCATGGCCCAAACAACTCACACCCATGGCACCCTAGCTGTGTTGCTGTTGACCCCTGCAAAAAGCTGAGCCTTTTGTGGGGTCAATGGAAAACTGAATGATTTCCCGAAAAGTTGAAGTCTAAAGATCCAACCCAGCAATCAAACAAGGACCGCTCCGCTTGCCGCGCAGCGACCGTCTATTGGAAGGCTTTCTGGGTTGGCCACAGACCATTGGCGAAAAATATTAAGGAAATTGAGGCCCAACACCCGCCCAGCCCCCGCTCGCTGGCAAGGCGGCATTCCCTTTTCAGCGGCTGCAGACAGGGTAAGTCGGCAAGCGCTGACATCTGGCACGAAGCCAAAACCAATGCTGAGTCAACAGTCAACGTGTGCCTTAGCAAGTTCCTAGCTGCGCTCTTGCTTCATGTTTTCACGCTGAAGATCCGGCGGCAGGCAATGCCTGCAAGTGCTTGTTCTCAACTTCGCAAACACGGTGAAGGCTCCGTGTTTGCATGAAGAAATCCCAGAGCACATCCTTGGCTGAGGTGCTGGCAGGCCCTTTCAGCTGCACAACCTTGGCCTTTGCCTGCCCCTTGGCCTTTGCTTTGTCCCCTGGCATCGGCAGTCTGCTCGGCAGACTGGACCGTGGTCCATTGACCCCTGGACCACCACGCTAGAGGCTTGAAAAAAAGTCACAAACCCCGTTTGCATCGAATTGGGCGACGATCGCCAGTCTATCTGAAAAGACGGGCAATTCTTCTGCGCGGAAGTCACGCGTGTTGTTGAACGCGGCGGCTCCTGCGCGTCGAAATCCTAAATGCATGCATAGAAGATCCAAAACAACTGCGTCGTCCCTGCGCAGCTGCCCGTCTGCGCGGGCACGGCGACGACGAGTGCGCCGTTGCGGCGCAGCTGCCCGCGTGCGCGGGCACGGCGACGACGCGCGCGCCGTTGCGGCGCAGCTGCCCGCGTGCGCGGGCACGGCGACGACGACTGTGCCGTCGCCGCGTAGCTGGCGCTGCCGCGGCGACGACATGGAAAGGTGGGACCCGCCGGAAGACACAACAAGGCCGTCCAGTAGAGTGTGCACGACTTGGGCGTTTACGCAATGAAGCAACACTGTATGTAGAACATTCCAGCGCCAGGAAAGCATATCAAAATCAAAAGCGAGACAAGACTGCGCGCGCATCGCGTTCAGCTGGGCGTGGTGGACGTGCAGATTGCCGGCGCGCAAGCGGTGAGAGGCGTATTGAAAGCAAACACGGCTTTGCCAAACCAGCAGCAGCAGCATTGGCTCACTGCGCGTTGACAACGTGTGGAATGTCGACATGACATTTCTTCGTGTCTAGCTGCCCCAACAGTGTGACAGTGAATAGCAAGCCTGCGTTTCGCAGACTGCGCGCGAAAAAGCTGCGTCGGACGTCGCATTCGCACGCACGTCAGCACGTTGGTTTCTGTTACATATCTGAGCAACGCATGAAACTCAATTGACGTCAACGCGCAGCGCGCTAGCCAAACGAGCCACGTTGTCAAGAGCTGCGCAATCAGACCATAAGAACAGCGCGGTGCGCGTGCTCCACGACGCGCTCCAATGGCTGGGTGAGAATCTCTATACAATGAAGACGATATGGCGCTCGTATGCAATGACTGCGCCGACGCTGCGACCATGCGCGTTACGAGCGCCATTGAGGCACAAGTGTTGCGGCCTGTGTGCGCCGTGACGTCGCCGAGGGCTGGCCTGCGATCCACACAGGCCACGGCTGCCTGGTGTATACACGCTGCGCCTCTTGCGGGTGCTGTTCTACAAGCACTATTTTATGAAACTCCATGGAGACGCAGTTTGTGTTGGGACAGCGCTGCTGTTCGGGCTATGATCGCTGCAGGCCACGACTAGGGCGCGACGCCTCGTTGTGTGGACGCCGTGCGTTATAGAGCGCTGCACTACGAGCGCTTTTCATACACATTTGCTGCGCGCGCGCGAAGGAACAACTTGTAGCGTGAAGCTCGCCCTGAATTGAGCTATGGGCGGGGGAAGTCAATAGCCCCTCAAAGACCGAAACTGTAGTATACTGGCAGAAGCATTGGACATCTACGCAACAGTTGCAAGAACGACAGCATAGAACCTATAAAAGCGTATGCTCGTGAAGGCCGATGCGAAGGCAGGCTTTACAATTTACAACTTACCAAAGCAGGCATGTGCAATCATGGGCCGACAACGTGTTGGCCAGGGCCCCAGTCAGGGCTTGGCTGACCAGTCGAGGCACAAAAACGCTTTGTCTTGCAGGCTGGGGGCCATGTACGACTCGACACTTGGGCCAACGAGCTACCACCCAGAAAAGGCGGCCTGATATGAGAAGTGCAAGCTCGCGGACACGCAAACATGGGCCAACCGTCAACGAGTCGAGAGCCAAAGTGTAGAGGAAAACAGCTGCTAAACACAGCTCGGAGACACGAGGCGGCTTCAATTTCGCTTTTTGGAAAAGAGCAACAAACACTGCCTCTGATTGTCTCCGCCGACTATACTCTCTATGTGCGTCACGGGCGCCGTCCCGACGCAGCGCCTACGAGGCGACTTCAATTTGGCCTTTGGAAAAGAGCAACACCTCTGATTGTCTCAGCTGACTTTTTCTCTCTATGTGCGGCACGAGCGCCGCCCCGACGCAGCGCCTTTGAGTATGTTGCTCGTGATTTCGTCGAGCTACACGCCACACCCATTTTGCGCGCACGCGCTGTTTTCACACGCGGCTTTTGTGGCCTGCGTGCGCCGATCGCTACAGGTCACCACCGCTTCGTGCTTCGCATCACGAGCGCTATATTCTACGAACGCCATGGAGACGCAGCTGCTGCAGCGTCGTGGCGCCAATGTCTGGGCTAGATCGCTGCAGGTCAGGGCTGTCTGGCGGCGTTCATAGAATAGCGCTCGTCGTGAGCAGAGTCGTTTCTGTTGCGTGTGACACGTTGCGCGTGACGAGCGCGAGTCCACGAAACGCTATTCTCAGACGGGCTGCTGCGGCTTGTGTGCGCGGTGACAGCGCCGACTTTTGGTCTGCGATCGCTACAGGTCATCACTGCTTCGTGCTTCGCATCACGAGCGCTGCTCTACGAACGCCATGGAGACACGTCGGCGCGCCTCCAGTGGCGCCGATGTCTGTGCTAGATCGCTGCAGGTCAGGGCTGTCTTAGGTACAGAAGCTCCGCACTACAAGCGCTATTCTATGAGTGCCCAGCAGGGTCATGTCTGTTGCGTGTGACACGCTGCACTCAGACGCGGCTGCTGCGGCTTGCGTGCGCCGTGACAGCGCCGACTCTTGGTCTACGGTCGCTACAGGTCACAACTGTTTCGTCACACCACTACGCTATATACTCTTCAAGCGCCATGAGTCGCAGCTGCTGCGGCGCGGCGCTTCCAGTGGCGCAGATGTCTGGACTCGGATTGATGTCTGAGCTAGGATCGCTACACATCAAGATTGTCTTAGGCGTAGAATCTATGCGCACATGCTGCGCATTACGAGCGCTCGTCCACGAGCGCTACTCAAGTGCGGCTGCTGCAGCTTGTGTGCGCCGTGACGGCGGCGACGCTTGGGGCACGATAGATTGCAACTCGTGCGCGAACTCTGCGTGTGCTCGGCTAGCGCCGTGACGGCGCAGTGGTCTTGCCAGTGTCAGCACATCAGCTCAATGGTTATGGAGCACTCAAATCACCGGGGCGTTCGTGTCGGGGCTGTCAAAGGCAGACGGGCGAGGGGCCATAGAAGCGCGACGCCTCGTTGCAATAAGGGCCCTGGCCACTAGGCTGCAAACCCTACCCTTGAGCGCTGTGACCACTGACCATTGGCCCGCACGCCGGCCTGGCTGCCAAACAGAAGGCACAGCTGCCACGGACACATCGCACAAGAAAGCGCGCGCCCTGAGCCCAGCAAAGCAGAGATCTCGACGGCTTTCCGACATCTGCTTTCCGACGGCGTTCTCACTCGTGCTGGCATTCTGCAGCTTTCCGACAAGGCTTTCCGCGGCTTTCTTTCCAACAGCTTCCCAACGTTTCTGACAGCTTTCCGACACTTCGCACGGCTTTCCAACGCGCGGACCCTCGCGGGCCCTCGGTTTGCCTAGTTTTGAAGCGTTAGGGTCCCGACAAGTTTCCGACGCCGGACCTTGACGCGCACCGACAATCGGCAGACACACTGTGATTTTGCACCGCTGCAAGCCAAGAATAACGATAGCGGGTAACCAATTGAATTTCGCAAGCAACACGGGACTCCTGTCAAGTAGCTGCGCTGAAGCAGCAAACATCATTACAGACACCACAGCTAGCGCGCTGCAAATAAGACCGTAGCGCCTGGCCTTTTCTGCTGTTTTCTGGACAACGGAGTTTTGTTATGCGCAGGGGTGCGGTTGTCAAAACGGGCCTGGGTCCCTGGAGCGAACTGTGACTGCACTGCCAGAGCCCCAAACGTCGTCAGCAGGGTATTTAGGCCGGGCCTCTTCAAGGCACATTCCGACCCTC